CGGCATGGGCAAGTTGGACTGAAGGGTCTGTCTTTATGCTGTACAACTCTATCACTGTTTAAGCACAGCCTCCAATTGTGTTTCAGTCCAATTTTTTAGATGTTGAAGTAGACAAAGTATGAAAATACCGTGGATCTTACATTGTCAACATTTATTCTTCAAACAACTTCAGACATATTCTTCAGACATACAAGATCATCAGAGGATTAGATAGGGTGGACAGTGGGAGCCTTTTTCCTCGGATGGTGATGGCTAGCACGAGGGGACATAGCTTTAAATTGAGGGGTGATAGATATAGGACAGATGTCAGAGGTAGGTTCTTTACTCAGAGAGTAGTAAGGGCGTGGAATGCCCTGCCTGCAAAAATAGTAGACTCGCCCACTTTAAGGGCATTTAAATGGTCATTGGATAAACATATGGATGATAATGGAATAGTTTAGGTTAGATGGGCTTCAGATTGGTTTAACAGGTCGGCGCAACATCGAGGGCCGAAGGGCCTGTACTGCGCTGTAATGTTCTATGTTCTATGTTGTATGTAACTATAAAATGGATGAACTGGTTACTTATCTCAGTGTGTTTCTAAGTTGGCTGATTTATTTGTTTACATTATGACAGTGACTATACTTTATAACAACTGTTTTGGGGTGTCGTAAGTTTGTAATCACTTAAAATGAATTCCAAGTATAGTACAAATAAAGTTTCACCATTTCCTAGAACTATTCTTGCTGAGATGAAATTCCACCCTCATTTAGTGACTTCACACTCTTCTGGAGCTTTGAAACTTAGATACATGTTTGTTCGTGACATCAACAATGCAAGATGCGCAGCAGTGAGGAATGATAAGAGAGGTTTAGCCAGAGGAAGGGTTCCAGATGCTGTATAAGACTTGAAAAAATTTGAATGAATAGCTGCATACATCAAGGATATACTGTGTTTGAGACACTGAAGAAAATGACAACCCAACCTATTCTCGGTTGTAGAGTATCTTAACCGTAAAGATATATTGCGAGCCTGGGATTAATTCACATTTTCTTTATTCGTTCATGGGGTGTGTGCTGCTGGCTAGGTCAATACTTCTTATCCTTCTCTAATTGAAGGAGATGATGGGGAGTTGCCTTTGTGCACTGGGATGTTGGGACGTCCTGATTGTTGTTCGAAAGGGAGATTGAGGATTTTGACAGTGCATCAATGATGGATCAGCAATAAAGTTCCAAGTCTACATGGTGTGTGGCTTCGTGGAGAAATTGCACATGTTCCCATGCACCTATTGTCCTTGTCCTTCTCGGTGGTGGAGGTTATGGATTTCGAAGGAGCCTTGCTGAATTACTGCATTGCATGTTGTAGACAGTGTACCATTGCTGCCACTGTGAAGTGGTAGTGAAGATATTAAATGTTCAAGATGGTGGATGGAATGCCAGTTAAGCAGGCTGCTTTATCCTTGGTGGTGTCAAGTTTGTTGAGTATTTTTGAAGCTGTGCTCGTCCAAGCAAGAGGAAAGAGTATTCCATTGCAATTCTAACTTGTGCCTTTGTAGATGGTTGACAGACTTTGAGTCCAGAGGTGAGTTATTCGTGCAGATTTCCTAGCTTCTGACCTGTGCTTGTAGCTACAGTATTTTAATGGCTGGTACAGTTCAGTTTTTCATCAATAATGTCCAGGATGTTGATAGGGGATTCAATGCGGCAATACCATTCAATGTTAAAAGACAGTGGTTAGTTTTTCTGCTGATAGTAATTGCCTCGTGTTTGCGTAGCACAAATATGAACTGCTTCATGATCTGAGGTGCCATGAACATTATTTGATCATCAATAAGCATTCCCACTTCTGACCCTTTGATAGGGGTAGGGGTTCATTGATGAAGCAGCTGAAAATGATTGAAGTAGGACACTACCCTGAGGAACTCCTTCAGAAATGTCTTGGAGTTGAGATGACTGACTTCCAAAAAGTACAGCCATGTTCCTTTTATGGTTGGCATGACTCCAGCCAGTGGGGAGTTTTACCCCAGTTCTTTTGGATGAAGGGTGCTCAGGGTGACATTCTTCAAGATTCTAATTGTTGAATCATAATGTGATTAAGTTTGCCACGAACAATAGAACAAGGCTACACTGAAATATGGAAAGAATATATATATATAAAGTCTCTCATGACGGTAAGATGCCCTGGAGCACTTTGCAGCCACTGAAGAACTTCTGACGTATAGTCTCTGTTCTGATTGTGGGGAATGCAGAAGCCAGTTTGTTATTTGTGAGAGTTTGCTATGCTTGTTGTGGTACTGACCAGATAATCTATTTTTTCAATGAGGAATATATGTTAACAGAGACAGTTGTCTTGCTGTGCTGCGAGAGATCCTTGATCTCCTATGAGAGCATGGATAGAGCCCCTGCTTTCAGAAGAAGTGTCAAGCTATCACTTTGGATAGTATAGAGACAGGTCCAGGTTTGGATGGGTTTTTAAAAAATCATTCGTCTCTTTCGTCATTATTGGCTAAGCCAGCATTTATTGCCCATCTCTCATTACCCAGGAGAAAGTGGTGGTGAGCCACTTTTTTGAAATGTTGCAGTTCATGTGATCAGTTTTAATATTAAACTCCGAAAACCAGTGAAAATATAATTAAATAATAACTTAAAATTTTATTTCTAAGATATCCTACTTCCTTAGAGGTAACATTGGGGTTGTAGACTGATCCAGAGACTGATTTAACCTATTCATTACCTCCAGGTTTTCGAAACTTTTAAATTATACTCTCAAGTTCACACATTTGGAGCAATGAGTCTGTTTGAGTAGTAGTACCACAAGATATGTTAATTTTTCCAGACTTGTGGTCTTAGATATTGTTGCACTTTCCATTACACTTGGGCATGTTTTTTTGGAAGCAATACCATTGTTTTCTGAAATGGAGTTTTGCACGTTGGAAAGGGAAAAAATTGATAAAGGGGTTTTGATTATGTCATTTGTATACAAGATACTATTCTCCAGATTGATTGATTGTCATGATGTTCACAACTTTCAAAGATACTGGCTGGACTTTTACTAACCATGCAGTCTAGTTCGGTTTCCAGCCTGTGTTCTCAGTTGTTTGATTTCAGTTGGGGCAGTAGCTGGTCATTACAATTGATAATCTCTGAATCTCGAAAGGTCTCTTGATCTCTGTCTGACACCTGCTGGCGTCTGTCCAGTGAGGTCAGGAGCCACTTAGAACTATAATATACTTCAAGATGCCTTTGTTTTTATCCAC